ATGCTGTTTTGTTCATAATTGTTTATGCAATTTACGAAATTATATTTGATTTATATGAGTTAATTTAGACGTAATGCAAGTTTATTTTATAGACAGTTATTTCCTTGCGTTGACAATTTAAATGCGCTGCATTATTTTGCTCATTGGGCCCTCCTGTGGCCTCGGGAGACCAGCCAAAAGTTTCCTTAAGACCTATTTCATCTGTATATAAAACATTCGAAATTAGCCATTTAATTTTTATTGTGTTTGACTGTTAAAACAAATATTTGTTGTTTGTCTCAATAAATTGGGTTAAGTTAAAAATACAGTGGTTAAATTAAAAAAAAAATTATATTGCTCTTTGTTTTAAAAAAGGTTATAAAAATCAATCAAGTCAATAATTATCGATACCGAATGATATGAAACATTATATCGTTGATATATTTTTTTAGCTATATCGCCCAACCCTACACTATATACATACATTCTGAAATTGAAAAGTAAAAACAAAATTAAAGGGGGTTGAGGGGAATACCGGCACTTATTTTTTACCATTTCAAGCACTGAAAAAGACTGAACTTCATTCATCATTTACATCGACAAAACCGTGATTAATGTACATAACAATGTAATATTTATTTCCTTTTTATGTATTTTTTCTGTATATATTTATAGTTTTTCCCTAGCAAATTAGTGCCACTAGTGTCACCAAATGGAACTGCAGACCTGACTGATTCAGAGTAAATAATCACAATTTTTCTAGCTCAGTCTTCCAAACAGATAGTCCCGTCCCAAACTAATTCTCAAACTGGTTGAGCCAGTGTTGCTGTGATGGGCAAGTCTAGAAGCTCAAACAAACAGATTAATGTTTTTTTTAATGGAAATACGAATGACTGACTTATGATGTGTTATTTTTTATGAGTTATTAAACTGGATTAGAAGAAAGTACTTAAAAATCTAAAAAAAAACAAACCTTTAGTTAAATAAATAATTCTTTTTTTAAGTTACTCAGTTAAGGATATAAAATCAAAATCTGTGATTCATATTTTGCCTGTTCAAATTCACCTTTCCTGTTAACTTCTTGCAGCAATTATTACTGACTAGGTTTGTATAAATATAATGATTACCCTTGGATCTCTTGAGGAAAATCTCTGTCTCTGCCTCCTTCTAAAACACGACATATCTGTGCCTTTTAATCTGCTTAGTGATACATTAGAAAAAGGATCAAGGAAAATAAAATCAATCAATGATAAAATCAAACAGTCTGAAGGTGCTGGTATGGCAAATTAACTTTCACAAGAAAGCCAGGTAGTTTGTTTTAGACACAGAGTTGAGTTCTGACTACAGATTACTCTATTATAAGATCAGTCTCTTTAGACTAAGGGTTTTTTTCTACTCGCCCGCCGGGGCACTGGTTCAATTTTTCCTTGCCCTGCCAAAATTTTCATTGGCCCTGCCACAAAAAAAAAAAAAAGTTAATCCCATGTAACCTTGAATTCTAATAAATACAAAATTTCACAATTATTAATTCCAATTTCAATACCACTGCAAAAACTACTAGCCTAACAAATGTAAGGTTCAAACATTAAAGACAAGTGAATACTTAGTAATAAAATAAGAACAAATTAGAAGCAACAACACAAATAAATACAATAGAACAAAAATACAAATTAAATAGTGCTTAAATATTTTTCATGTAGGTCTAACAGTAGTATTCAGGTACAGAAAATTAATAATTAAATTTAGAATAACATTGCATAGTCTTCACATTATAAATTAGATATAGATTAGTCCTAGTTAAAGCTACAAAAGTTATTTAGCTTAGAGCAGTGAGTGAATTTATCTGTCTGTTGTTGTTTAATTAACATTAATGACACAGACAGGTTAGGGTGCTGTCAATACACATCCAATTTCTTTTTTGACTGTTGGCTTTGTTACGACCCATGGCTCAAGGGAAGCAACAAACAAAAGACACACGCGAACCAAACGGTTAGCTTTGAATATAATTTATTCAAAAGCTACAGTCACAAAAAAAAGTAAAGAACACCATAAAGAAAACAACTATGTATTGGAAACATCAGTAGTGCCAATGTGTAATGGGAAATGTATGGATGTAGGGAGATGTAGTGTACTGCGGTGTTGGGGTGCAAGAACAAACACAAGCCAAACAAGTCACAAAACCAAATATCCAAAACCGGATCCCCCCCCCTGGCTCAAGCGGAGGCCTCTTTTAAAGAGAGCGTCTGATAAAGAGCAGGTGTCTCAAACGACGGCCAATCAAGGTAGTCTGTGGACTCCTACAGCCATTCCACGAACAAACGACAGGGGTCGTCACAGCTTTCACTTAAGACAACCAATAGTGTTACTCACTTGGGATATTCGCCAAGACAGCAATAAGTAAACTTTTCATAATTTTGTATGTATTAGTCTGTTCAATTGAAAGAAAACACACAGAAAACAGTGCATGAGTACAGCATTCCAGTTCTCCTTCATGTCTTCTTGCACTTAAAGAGTTTAAAATCACTCGAATGTTTAAATTGGAAGGGAATAAAAACAAGTGCAAATGATAAACTTTTGTGATGACACAGCATCGACCTGATTGGGCCAGTGACAAATCTGTCAACCATCCTGAGCGTCTTTAACGCTGGCCCCGGGCCATTGGGCAGTCCTTATTGTCGAGCCCTGAAAGTGTATGATGTATATTAATTGTTAAAAGAGTGCAGAGCCATCAACAGGTTAAAAAGAACATGATTAATGTCTGGAAGCTTGTTTGAAGTGCTCTGGATCATATACTGATTAAAAGCTCATTGTTTAGCCAATAAAATGCACCTCTGAAGCCTCAATCATGAGCGGAGAAGTGCTTGATCAACTGTCCCTGTGTTTCTTGATTTTTTAATGACTTTTTGAGCTGGTGCTCCTGTTTATCAACCCTTTGACCTGTTTGTTTGTGCGGGCAGGTAAGTTATGATGGAGAGCTTCACAAACACCCCCAGCTGGAGGCTGATTTGGCAGCCGTGAGGGACTTATATGGCCATCATGCAGTATCTCTCAGGTATCTGACCATTCATTTTCTTGTTGATGATGCGAGAATATTTTTTATTTTTTATTTTTAATTAAAAAATAACTTTTGCCAATTAAACTTTTTTTTTTCCCACACATAAATGTAAAACATTCAGTATAAAGTAGCTTTATGTCAGGAAAAGTGCAAACATTTCATCAGCTCAGAAAAAAGTTTTGAAATTGTGACTTCCTTCCTGAAATCCCCTACCACCAGAGAAGTGTTTTACGGGAAACGACACCTGGAGCAATCATTTAGTGTTCTGGCACTGTTAACCCACTCAAGGACATTCTCTGCCCGAGCCAGGTCCCATAACCCTCACATGGCCAGGGGTCTGTCATTTGGGCAAATGCTCTGTGATCAACTGAAGGATGGTCTGTGAGAGTCTGAGCAGTTTCAGTTTGATTACAGGCCTGTAATGGTGTGATGATTGCTGTTTTTTTTATGCTGACGGAGAGGCTTTCTTTGAGCTAATCTGCTCTGCAATCAGTGTTGGAGCGAATTTATAGCAAGAAATAACAAATTTGAAACTGCTGCTTTTAATAATGCTGTGGACAACAGCAAAAAATGTGTTTGTGCTGAATATCTAAGATGAAAAGAACTCATGACAGATTGTCAACAAGAACGCGATTCACCCCGCAAAATCTGGCAATCTGAATGGTGTTTCATGTGACGACAGCTATTAAAAGCTTCGTCCTTGAAAGTTTATCTTGTCAAGCTGCTTTTGATAACAGCAGACAGTCAAATGAAAGAACAGCATAAAAGACTATTCATAGCAGCAGAAGTGTGTGTTTTATATTCTCTCTAGTGTGTGATCTGTGTGATGCATTTGCCCTGAGTCATAGATGGAAGACTATTTTGAGTATTTATTCAGTGTTCTGCTTGAAAAATGGCATGGGTCGCTTTTGCTGCAGTCTCTATGAGTGGGTTCACTGGAGCCCCCTTTAATAATTCCAGGACATGTCCCAATAAAAGCTTTGGTTTGTTGGCTTTTGCCTATTCATTTAACTTGATTTAAATGAAAAAGCAAAACTGCTTTTAGAAATGATTCCTTGAAGTTGCTCAAAGTTGAAAATATGTAATTTTGTGTGTTTACATGTATCTGAACATGAGTGTGTGTTTATCGGCTGTATGTAAGCTGTTTCCCCTTGACAGATCAAAGGGGATTCTTATTTTCTCAAACCTTTTGCTTTTGAGACACAGCGGCTGCATTTGGGAGTGAGGTGTAACCATGGTAACAGTTAGCCCAGAGCAAGGCAACAAACTCATCACAATGGTTTAATGAGAAATAAATGCTTTGAGTAAAGCACAGCAACAGAGCTGGAGCGTCAAGCTGCATCCATTCAACATCACGTCTACCTGTGTACTCGAATAAGAATTAAAATATAACACAAGATTGATTTATTCTGGAATCTTTCTGATTAAAATTAGCATGCTTTCCTTTTCCCACTTACGTCATTAGGGCAGACAGGATGATATTTGATATTTTGTTAGCAAATTTGCATTCAGTCTCCTTCCACAGTTATTTGCTGATGGATAAAAACCAGTCCTGGCTTATTTTTCTTCCAAGCCATTTAAAATAGGGTACAAATGATAATTCATATAAACTTTAAAGCAGAATGTTTTGTAAGCCAGCTGTATGAACAAAGAGAACTGCTTCATCATGTCTAAATTTGTTGTGAATTCCCTTCGAATCCCTAAAAGCTTTGTTCTTGACTGTCAACAACAATATTCTGAGTAATATATTCTAGTAATTTTCTAGTCTTAATGAGTATATACTTTAAAAGCTGCTGTGAATAAAGAGTAATCACACTAGCAGGTTTTGTTGAAGATGGAATATCATAATCACCAAGTCTGGAATTGTATCTATTTTTTCCCCCAAAATGCAGGGAATATGGTGCAATTGATGATGTGGACATCGACCTACACATTGATGTCTCTTTCCTAGATGTAAGTGTTATTGTTCATTGTCTTATTTAAGATAAATGATGATGACCAGTTATTTATTTATTTTTTTCTTATTATTATTTTATGTGTGAGTTATGTTGTGTGAAACTGAAATGAAGCATTTGTTCATAGGAGGAGATTGCACTTGCCTGGGATGTGATCCGGAGTGAACCTGTTATTGTGCGGCTTCACTGCTCCCTCACACAATATCTGAATGGACCAGGTTAGTTCTCTCTCTCTCTTTCTCTCTCTCGCTTGCTTTTTCTCTCGCACACACATACACACACAAAAACAAACTTTCTGTAATAGAATATTAATTTTATAAACATCTGTAGCACTTAGTCAGGTTGGATGCCATATTGAATTTAACACGAATGAAAACGAGGCTGTGAGGTATAGACTTACAGTCTTAACAATGGCACACACTGCATAACGATCCTAGATCATGTATTTTTCACAACTCACATGGAGTTTTTGTCTGCTAAAAAGTATTTTAAAAAGTCTGTTAAACAACAGTACAATCCATTGAACGCACTGTATTTCTATCCCTCACAGCTTAATTTTCATTCCTGTCAAAACTTAAAGTCCCCATGAAATCAAAATTAAAGTTTTTTGGGTGTTAGTATCAATATGTTAGTCTTAAGGTTATCTATAAGGCAGTGTGCTCCAAAACAGTGACAAAATTCGCATTTAGAAGATACAAGCATTGAAAGCTTGCAGTTCGTCACTTCCGCCAAAACGGCTCAACGATTTTATTTTTTTTTTTGACGTCACATCGTACTTCAGCTTCTCATCAAACTTTGTCCAATCAAATGCTCTCTAGAATCCGAAGCGGCCGCCCCTACACTATAAAATAGACGCTGAAGCCGCGGCTGAAATCGGTCACTTGAATTAGTATTTTCTGTACAGTGAATGGCACGTAGTGCACTATATAGGGGACAGGGAACGATTCAAACAGTTTAAATATGCTTTCGATTGAGGAAAAAAAGAAGTCTGGTTTCGTGCTGTGTCACGCTAACCACCGCAGCGCACACACACTCTGCTCCGGTCCAGAGACACGATAGCACGGAGCGGATCACATGCGCGAGTCTGCACAGACCACAAAATGTATCGGAGCTATTTGAATTCTACACAGAATGCTATATTTTATAGCAATATGGATGAGATTGTGGCTGGCATACCCTGTCAAATGCGGCTTTACGGAGCTTAACTGCTCTAGCCCAAGCTGTGATATATTGGCTATTTTAAAAAGGGGCGGGGCTGCTTGATATGTCCCACCCTGTCTTCCTGTTTCAGTTAAAATGACGTCAACACAGAGAGTAACGCTGCGTGTTTCTAAGCATTTCGGGGGACCTTTAAATATGGCGCTATCCTGACTAAGGACTATTGTCATGATTCCCAACCAGTGGTTCATAGATTTTGATTGAACTTTGTTAAACGTATAAAACAGTTAACACCTCTATAAGAAAATCATGCAAATCATTTTCCTGACAACAGCATTAGACTAGTTTGGCCAACTTACCTTGTTAGATGTTTTTTCCCCCCATGTTACTTTTGCACAAAAGCAGTATGACTTGTTCTCGTCAGTGAGAGTTGTCTGAGTGTCCTTGCACTGAGCTCTCTCTGTTGATTGTAGATTTGTTCAGAATTACATGGCCACTTCAGTTCAGATTGCAGGAGAGAAGTTACTTGGACATGGCTGTAATGCCTTCTTTTGTTCTCTTGCCAAGATATTGCTTATCACAAGAGGCTCATATCAGAGTGACCTTCTGTTCCAGTGTTTTAAAAACCTCTGATGCGCTTTGATGGCTTAATCAAACGGCTGTAGCAAATGGTTACATTATGTGGTACTTTGTTTTGCAATACCTTTCTCATTGAGAATATCATGTCCTGTTTCCAGTTCCCACTGTCGATGCGTTTCAAGTGTCTTCAAAAGACAGATTTGGACTTGGACATCAGTTGAAAAAGTAAGAAACTACTGGAAAATGTTGTGTCCAGTGTTATATAGGGTTTTCTAGTGTCATTGAACTTCATGAGTGTGTTGTCTCTTGGCAGGATAATGCAAACCTTTGTCACACAGCAGTGGAAGTGTCAGAGCAAACATAAACTCAGCCCACACAGCAAAAAGCAAACAGATAAGAAGGTGAAGTCTCCCCTGCACATTTTTTCAACTCTACGCAGGTGAGAATAAAAGTCACTCAGCTACATCAGTGCTAGACTTTTAATCAGATACAGGCCAACCCTAGTCCTGAGTTTTATATCCCCCTTTGTAGCTCTTTTAAACCCAAGACAATTGGTTGCTTCTGGTGAATGTTAACATGTTTAATTAACCTCACACATTAAAATGCTTAACTCTTTCTAGAACTTATTTCTGTTCTTACTTATTGCTGTTTCTGCTTTGTGTACATGCCATTACTTTGCCATTTCAGACACTGTTTGTTTTTTGCCCTCTGTTGTACTGGAGTAAATTTGTATGCCAATCAGCATATGTGACCCTGGACCACAAAACCAGTCTTAAGTTGCACGGGTATATTTTTAGTAATAGCCAAAAAAACATTGTATGGGTCAAAATTATAGATTTTTCTTTTATGCCCAAAATGATTAGGATATTAAGTAAAGACCATGTTCCATGAAGATATTTTGTAAATTTCCTACCGTAAATATATCAAAACTTAATTTTCGATTAGCAATATGCATTGCTAAGAACTTCATTTGGACAACTTTAAAGGCGATTTTCTCAATATTTAGATTTTTTTGCACCCTCAGATTCCAGATTTTTAAATAGTTGTATCTCGGCCAAATATTGTCCCATCCTAACAAACCATACATCAATGGAAAGCTTATTTATTCAGCTTTCAGATAAATCTCAGTTTTGAAAAATTGACCCTTATGACTGGTTTTGTGGTCCAGGGTCACATATTTGAGTAAATTTGGGGATCATTTCACATTTGGTGTGAATAGGCTAAACTTATGTCTTCAGGACCAGCATTTACTTTTAAGCTAACAAGTATGCCAGCTTCATGGTCTCTGTGTTTATTAGACCAGCTGGAGAGTCTGAGACATAAGAGCTGATACATTCTAATGAGTGGCCCTATGATGAGTCAGTGGTTGTTTATCAAACTGTTGGAACAGTAGACACAAATCTGATGTTTCATTGAATTGGAAAGACTCCAAGATGGAGAAGACCGGACTGTAATTTTGATGAAATTGACTAAGAATGTAGCCATGGGTTTGGCAGTTTAAAATCATAAAGAGTAAATCTTACCTGAATGTCTTAACCTGTGTGTGTGTGTGTGTGTGTGTTTTTAAATGAATAATAAAATTATGCAGAAATGAAAGATGCAGAAAAATGGTAAAGCAGTTTGTCAACAATGCTTAATGCTTTGTATCTCATTAACTCCAACACAACCTACTGTAATTCATTAGTGCAAGAAACGCACATCCCCACTGCGAACTATGCAGACCTCAACATGAAAAATGAAATGGTGTAAATCAGCCAATGAAGCATTCTGAAATGTGCAGAATTTGCACAAGCGTAATTGCACAACATCTTTCTGTGTTCCTTAATTCACGTTGTTTGATTAATGTGCTGTGCTTGTGCAAACTCAGATCCCCCAGCTACCCTCCTCCTGGCTGTGTGAAGAGCAAAAAGAAGCTCAAACCTGAGCAGGATGGCGTGTCAAAGTCCCACCGTCTGTTACGGCGAACATGCTCAAGCACGGTGAAGCCAGAAATGGACGGCTGTGTCAGCAAGTCGCACAAGCTTCTGGGCCACTCTCTCTCCAGCGACCCGCGGATGGAGCAACATCAGCCCCTCAAGCAGCCCCACCAGCTGCTGCCGAGGCCCTGCTCGACTGCTGTTAAACCGGAGGACTGCCCGCCGCTGCGGCCTCATAAACTGTCGCCGCGGTCGAGCATGGCAGAGCCTCGCTGCGAACACGCTGCTGGCAGTAGCGATGGCGATGCTTTGAAGCCCCACCGGCTCCTGGGCCGCTCCTGCTCAGGCAGTGTGCGGACTGAAGAGCTGGATGGCCTGAAGCACCACCATCGTCTGCTCAGCAGGTCCTACTCCAGCAGCACCAAGATGGGCAAAAGTGACATCTTTAAAGAGCCTGTCACTGAGAGCAGACGCCTCTCCCTTACCTCAGGGCTAATTGGCATCCTGGCCCCATCACTCTCTTCCACACCTCAGGTAAGGATTGCGTTGGGATTGCGTTGTATGCAAATACTTCCTTGAGATTACATAATAAATTAGGATTTGCCTAATTTGATTGGCTGTTTGGTTTGGCTTTGGTCAGTGACACCTGATCGAGTGTGGTGCAGTGAGATCCAGGCAGATGAAGTCTTTCAATAAATTTGTATTTTATTTGAATATAAAATCATAAATGATAACAATAACAGAAGATGGTAATAATGAAAAAATTTAAATGAAAGAAAAAGATTAAAAGAACACGACATTCAAATAGAGTATATTCTACTAAAATTTCTAAAAGAGTAATCTGAGTATCTAAGCATCTGAGTATAATAATCCTTGTAGAAGAAAAGAGACAAAGGCCTTTGCAGCATGTGCTATATATATACACACACAGGAGAACTTACATCCTCTTACAATATCACCAGATGTTTATGTCTGACTCATAAATGTCAAAGGAATTTATCCATTGTGTCATTATCTACGTATTGTCAAATATTTCCCCCACCTAAGTTGAATTAAGTTCAGGACTAGGTCACATTGACATGACCTGTTAAAATGCAGTAGGTCAGATAAAAATAGAGCTATGTGTTGTGATTTTACACCCTTCGAGCAGAAACAGCAGAGTTAAGCAATCTTCAAATATCATCTTGCAAATACCAGCTCTTGGAAAGAACATTTAGTACCACAGAAAGCAAATTCAGAGAACATTCTTCATATAAAAATATTTAAAAAAGGCGCTCAACATCTTACCAAAAACATCCTTTTACCATAACAAAATGTACCTTTTATATGTCAGACCAGAAAATATATCCTACGTCTACAGAATATGATTATAAATGGAATATATATGAAAAAAGAATAAATGAATAATCCTGAATATATACCTAACATAAAACAGTAATATGAATATAATGAAGAGTAACAACAAAAAGAACCATAAAGAATAACTCGTAATGAATATAATGTATAAATGATTATGGAAAATAAGAAAAGTATAACATCCTTGGAAATTTGCATACACCAGAGAGTTTTGGATATGAAAGCATTATTTAACAGAATTTATTTACTGCAAAAATAAGAGTAAGCAATTTCACAATTAATTGCTCCTACTAGGCAGAGATGAGAGAGTTTAACAGGTTGAGGACAGGGGGATTTATTTAAAAATTGTTCTTGCAGAGAGATAAATTCTGTAGTTAAAACATTTTGTCCCACTAGTGTAAATTTTGGCTTCAGGCATTGAAAACAACTTTGTGTGTTTGGTTTGCAAATTTGGTTTGGAATTTAAAGGGAGTTAAAACTTTTTTTCTGTTTTCTCGAGTAGCCAAACATCGGCGCCAAATCCATTCCAATCAGAGACAGAGGCTTCCTTGTTCAGGTAAAAAAAATAAAAATCTACATTTCCCCCTTTGCCTAAATTCATTA